GATGTAATTCTCTAAAACTAGGGAAAAAATCAGGGCAGAATAGGAAAGTATTGTTCACAGGCATGAAGATTGTACTGGGCACCAAAGGAAACTAGTGGATATACCAGATGCAGCATCTTCAGATGTGTCATGTGCAACAAGTGACTGGAATCCTGAGGACCACTATTAGGAAGTGCCACAAAGAGCTTTGCTGATGTGCTCCATACTGCACAGCTGCTAATCCCTGCTGCTGGAGACACAATAGTGCGTGGATGGAGCTTCAGGTTGGCCACATGCAGGTGCTGTTATGCTTTCAGTAGAAGCTAGCACACAGTTACTACCTCAGAGGACTTGTATTTGCAGTATGTGAGAGAGTCAAAATGGAAGAGGGGTAGAAAGTTATTGCTATCCCTATTTTTATTAAGGGAGAATTGAGCAAGAGATTGTTATGTGCCCTGTCCAGTGTCACTCAAGAAATCAGTACCAGAGGTAGGAGCTGAAGATGCGGAGTCCCCGACAATGACTGAATTAGAGGATCACGGTTTCCCCTCTGTTAGCCACCAGAAATCTATGAAGTGAAGGCAGACTCGAAGACATGGAGTTGTCAGGCTCAGAAGTATCTGTTTTTCCATGGAAACATCTTCCCAGCAACAGCTAAGCTTTTGCAAGGAGAGAAGCAGTTCTCATCATGCGAGAGCTGTCAGGAAGCTGTACTGTGCAAAACGCTATGGCTGTGCAGCTGCCTTCTGGAGAAGTCTCACCCACAGCCAGGCAGCATACAGCCCTGTTCCTGACAATCCAGCTGTAATTCTGCCTGCCTGATAATTTTTCACCATGGTCATGCCAGAATCATAGCCTTGTTTTCTGTTGTCTGGCTGTTAGTGGTGATGTATGAATAAGTAGGAAAGACAGCTTCATTTTCATAAGCTAACTTGTGCCTGGAGGAACAGAGAGTGCAGGGGGTGCACTTAATCATAACTGCGGGGCCGGAGCAGCAAACAGTGACAGAGCTTTTGCTGTTAGAGATGGTATTTTATTAAACTAACTCTTAGGAAGGAAGACACAGGCAGCCCACAATGCTGAATGATTCAAATTCATCATGGTAGCCACCGTGTTCTCATCTGCTAGAGGAATAACTCATGTAACTTGTTTGCTCTTACCTCCTACAAAAAGCTATTGTGGGAAGGGACTCAAGTCTTTCTCCTCACAAAATCTGAATTCAGACTGTGGTATGACCAGAGGTGAAATGAAGCTGGTAAAAGTTTCTGCAGAGCTGCAGACGCTTTGCAGGGAAGGCATGAAGAGTAGCAGAGGGACAGGCTGAGGCCTATGGATGGTCAGAGAAGTGAGGGCATGGAGAGCCTTCACCATGCCTTCTCAACACGAAACATGCATTGCTTTGGCCAGCGCCTCATTTCTATAGCCCTGTAACGTATTTGGAAAAGTAAATAACTAAAAAAAAAAATAACTGTTAATGCTCAGATGCACTGGACAGATTTTCTCACAATGTATAAAAGAATTTTGATGGAAGCTTTGAGTGAAACGTATTTAACTGTTCAAAATTGGAAGGGCAAAACTTAAGAGATTATTTTGTTTGAACTTAAGATACATAGAATAGTGTGGTATACGTGGCAACCCTTATGCAGCTGTATTATGTGCTTCACTGATATTAAATATATAATATATGTATATTTTGTACATATAGAAAACTGAGGAGGTTTATACATTTATATGTGGTTATTTTGGTATCTTCAGATTAAAATATTTGGGAATTTTTTTCCATAGAATATTTCTGAATTTGAATTGAGGCTTGGAGCAACCTGGTCTAGTGGAATGTGTCCCTGTCCATGGCAGGGAGTTGGAACTGGATGACCTTTTAAGGTCCCTTCCAACCCAAACCATTCTATGATTCTGTTATTCTCTGATGATTTCTTTTTTCTGTACTGATTTAGAATGAAAACATGTTTTGGAACTGTTAATATTTACTATGGAGCTGCAGTTCTGGTTTCCTGATCACTTCTGCCCTAAGTCAACATCATAGAGACAATGTAAAGGGAAATAAAACTATGTTCTTTGGCAGAGACAGGAATACTATTCCAGCCTAGAGAAAGAAGAGATATAACTAGAGAAGCTACAAAATATATCTTCATCTCTTTCTCCAAGGTGACTTGGGAGACTTGCCATCACATCTGCCTAGTGGGGTTTCAGACACCAGCAGGAGTTACAAACAGCCTGACAAGTTGCATAATGCTCTACCCTAAGACAGTACGTGAACATGTGCACATTCCTAGGCCATTCAAAAGCAGTGTTAGCTAATACATTGTACTTCGTATTTGTGACAAGCTAAAAGGGCATCTACAGGCAATTATACCAGCTCAGTTAATGTACAGTAAGTCACATTATATCTGATCCGTATATCTAAGCTCTAAAGCTTACATGATGGTAATTCCTGCCATCATCATGTCCCATATCAAACCTCAAAGGATACTGGTGAGAGCAGGATTTGTTCTGATATCTTCAAAAACAAAGGGAAAAAGGGGGAAGGAAATGGTACAACTACAATAAATATGTGTGAACATAATTTCCTGAGACTTTTCAGTTTACCTTGGCATGAAAAATAATAACTGAGAAATAAGTATTTCAGGGGTACATTGTCACTGAGATTTTGGACTGGTAGGTGGAAAGAAAAGCCATTAACAACCAGCAAGGTTTGTTCATCTTTTATTATTCGTCAGCTGAAAGGCTGAACTCTGTGGCTTGTTGGGAAATGCATGGGGCTAAGATAATGAAAGCAGATTGATGCTCCATGGTAAGGAAGTTCAATATCTGCTTCTTGCAAATGGAATTCTAACATTTCTTTTGATGTTAGCAGTACTATTCCAAGAAGGATCTGTGGACTGCTGAGTTGTGAAATGCGCTGTTAGAATACGGGCAGGGTTACTCTCTTTGTACTAGCTGTGCCAATCCCTGCTAGCCCAGCTGCACCTGCATTTTTTATTGGGTTTTTTTTGTCTTTACTAGCCGTAGTAGTTTCTTACTTTGATTTACTCAACCTCAACTGTAAGTGATGTTGATAAAGAACAGGCAGTCTTCCAGCATGGAATCAACAAGTGTTGGTTAAAATTGTGCCCTTCAGCTGTTTTTGGCTAAAGGCTTGTTTCAGCCAGTTGAGATCCCTTTCATATTTCCTCACAATATATGGCTCGTGGCCCCTCATGTGCTGTTTAGTGTGTTCTGTGTGTCTCACAGGTTGAGAGATCCTACAGTTTATTTGTATGAACAAATCATCAGTTGCTTAGGATGCATCTGCCTCTAACTTTTCATTTCCTTCATTCTCTTGTGCTTTGCCCGCTGTTAATATTGCCAATTTTCGGTAGCACCAACAGGGTGATAAATGTGTGGTGGTCTTTTATATGTTCCATTCTGCTCTCTCCAGATTTTCCACCTTCTTGAAAAGTGAGTTATGGAGTATAATATAAAATTCTAAATATATGTATTACATGTAATCTATAATGGAAAAGGAGAGATATCATCAGAAAATTAGGTCTGGCGAGCACTGGCATGCTGTGATTGGGATAAAGTAGGATGATCCTGAACAGAGGTGTGGAATGGACTTGGTAATTTCTCAAGGTTATTTCTAGATTGATTTCCGTTCACTCCTTGAATGCTTTTGTAATGTTCTGATTTATTTGTTATATGTCAGCCACTCATTGCTGCTCACACTCATTGAAACAGCATTTGAGGCACATGTGGGGGTTACTGACAGAATTAGAGATATCACAAGAGAGTGTTGTAATCACCTGACCTATCCTAATGTCTTCCAAGCTGACAATAAAGTATGAATTAATCACTTCTGTCTTAATGTCCTGCTTCCTAGCCTAATCTTGACTTGGGCCATACTGAAATGTTAGTTATAAAGCTGTGGTCCTGCATAAACAACATATAATGATCATTTAATGCTTTCAGTGCACTGCTGTGACCATACATCCAGTTTTATGAGCATAGCTGGGATTTGAAAATGTGCCTTCAGAGCATGATGCTTAATTGCTTTCTCAAAAGGTTGCAAAGTAATCTCCAATCCCAGTCTTAGTGCCCTCAGTGAGTGGGTCCCTCTGTCAAAACACCATTTCTTTTTCTTTCTTTGACTAGATCCAAAAGCAGTTTTCCCCTGCCCTCCATCCTCTGTTACCAGAGCTTTATTTCAATCACTTCTCTTATTTACATTTTATACAGCATATTTTAGGATAGATAATTAAGTCCTTATCTATACAAACATTCATTTTTCAGTTTTTAAGCAGTGCAAACCTTCTAGACACATTTGATTTAAAGCGCATTTTACTCCAGCTGGAGTCAGCTGCTAATCAATGTAAGCTAAACCAAAATAAGCCCATCCAGAACTGAAATCATAATATCTATGCAGCCTTCCACACAGGCTTACCTAAATGACTTTTGAATTATGCTCTTAAATTAAAACAGTGCAACTTTCTTATGTAGGTAAACTTTTAGAATACAGTAATTTTCTAAGCAAAAGGGATTTCCTTTGTGACTGATAAAAAAAATCCCCAAAACTACTGGGGGGAACATGGGAAGAATAATTTGCTATACTGAGCCTTGTTCTTCAACTGTATTACCTTCATCAGAGTATGAACGGATCTTCATATTAAATGATCATTTTACCAACACTTACTTCTCACTAGGAGGATTCTTCGTCATTGTATTTCAAGATCAAGCAGCATTCAGATTTGTCTGGGTGATATATTTTTGTCAGTATGACAAAGGTTCCCACAGTGTTTAATTACTCAGACTAGCCAGAGGAGAAGGAAAGAAATGAGCTGTGCTGAATTTGCTGTGCCAGGCTTGCTGTCTGTTGCATAAGCAGGCTTCTTCTGATTGCATGGAAGAAGGGCAGCACCCAAACTTCTGTCTTCTCTTTCCATTGTCTTTCCCTCTCCAGATTTCCTGTGAGTTTTCCATTGACTGTTTTTTGTCTCATGATGTTTTTACAATTTGCTCATTTCCAGGGCAGCAGGTTCTTGGCTTGGTGGAGAACCAGAGTGATTGGTATTTGGGCAACCTTTGGAAGAATCATCGACCCTGGCCAGCGCTTGGGAGGGGCTACAACACAGGTAGGTCCTGGGGGGTTTCTCTGAATTAAGGTTTCCATTGAGTATGCAGTCAGTCTCCCGCTGTAGAAGAGTATGAGATGTGGTAACTTGCACCTCCCTTCCTAACTTACTGCAAAAACTTGTCGTTTAAAGCAGTAAAAATGATGCAGTGTGATGCATTTTGGAACTTCTGGTACTGTGCTACTCTGAGAAAATTATATTCCTTCTCTAGATGGTCTTAAGAGAGATTGTATGGCATCCATCAGGGAAGGACTGAGCTTCTCAGCAGTCTTGACACATTCTCAGCACATCTCCTACAAGATTTCTGTCTATGATAAGCTTTTGTAGACCCAGCAAGGGGGAAAAAAACAGGGATCAAGGCTCATTTATTGTAGAAAGGTAAATGATATCACAAAATGTCAGCCCAATAAAGATATAACTCCTCCAGGACAGCAACAGAGTCATAATTGTCCTAATAAAATGCAAACTACTGGCCATCAATTTCTGCTGCTGTGGGAAAGGAATAAAGGCATTAGATCAGAGAATTTGTTAGGTTACAAGAGAGAGGTCTTCCCTCTGATTTGTGTTTGGTATGTGAGAAAACATACTAGGTACATAAAGAACACACACATACATCTAAGTCATTCCAATGCTAGGCTTTACATGCTGATGCAGTGAGTTAGGTTCCCTCTCTATTTGTAATAAAAGGGCAGAACAGATAGTGAAGCCTCCCTTTAGAACAGGTGAGTCCATTTAAATACCCCTGCACTATCAGGAAATTATTCACCATAATAGACGTTTTGCTTCGCAGAAATGCATTCAATTCAATTAAACAGACTAACTAGGAAAATGATTGCACAGGTTGTGGTTGGGTCATCTGTATTTCTATATTCCTTTGTCTATTTGGGGGAATCACTCCAGTTTTTGTGAATTTGTATTTCAGCCTCTGTAAAGAATCTCTGTTCTGTGAAAATGTTCCAAAGGATAGCCTAACAGAACAAATTGGATATGAATACAAGATTTTGTTTCCTGGCTCTCCACTTGCCAGAGCAGAATTGCATATATAAAGGTTTGGGCTGCCCACTCCTGCCCCTCACTCTTCCAAAAGCATTAGTCAGAGCCAAGTTTCATGGACTTGTCCTGAAAACAAAAAGCTTATGTTATACACAGCTGTATACATTGATGTCAGTTCTTTTCACTGTTACACCACAAAACAATTATCTTTTGCTCTACTGAGAGATGAACACCCTTTACAGGTACTTTCTTTCTGCTACATTTTTGCTTTTTCCTTTCAGACTTTTAATGCTGGCAGAAAGCGTCACAACCACATAATGTTAGAATAACCCAAAAATGTATAGTGGATGGTATCTAAAATGCAATTAGGTAAATCAAAGTGCTATAAAGCTTTAATTTATATTGTCTTAACTTACTGTTCCATATGGTTTATAGGGATACCAAATGCCAGTTTATCACAAAATTCTTCCACTGAAAGCAAAAATAATTGAATGTCTGCAGTCCTTCAAATAAATGGCATATGTTAATTCCTGGTATGTGTTAATACATACCTACCAGGCTATGCATAAGCCTGCCGATGATTTTAGTCTGTTCCCAATTTCCTTCTTCAGACAACTCACCTGTAATTGTAGAAACTCTTTAAAAAACAAACAAATAAAACACCAGAAGGTAGATAATGAATGGAAGAATGACAAGTGATCATAAGAAGTGGATTGATGTTTTTTTAACTACATGCAAGAAGAGGTCACTGGGTGAAGCAGTTCAAGTTCTGAGAAGTAGCAATTGATGTTATTGACAGAATCAGCATCATTTACTGTAATTTTCTTAATTGAATTTATTGTTTGCCTCAGTAATTTAGCCAAGATTGGAGGTATAAATATTTCAAGGAAGATGAAATATGAAGTGAAGCTGGAGCTTGTTTGATGTGTTCAGTAAATTAAAATAATTGTCACTGAATGCAACACTTGTGGCCAAGGAGGATTCAGAAAACTAAGGGTGGGGGAGGACGAGGGCAGGAAAGAGAGACTATAACTCTAAGCAAAACACTCCTGAAAGGCAGTGGGCTGGGAAAGGAAAGACTCAGAAATTCAGCTGCTTAGAGCTGTACTTAGGAACAATAAAAGGGCCCCCAAAACCGTGAAACTTCCATGGGCTAAACAAGGCTGGATCAGACAGACTTTGCTTTTGCTCTTGGGAGAGTGTTTACTACAAACCCAGAACACAATCCCAAGAAAATATTTTTATGTGAGCCTCTTCAGCCAGTCCCAACGCTGGCAGGTTTGATGCAGAAGCACCCTTCGAAGTCAAAATTATTCCACTTATTCCTCCCACTTTCTGAAGGAAATAATATATCTTTCATTTGTACTTTTCTGAGTCAGTCTGGACAACAAATAGGTTGAGTGGAGTCCCAAAAGGCAGATACATAGAAACCAAAGGTGTGTTTGTTCCTTCTCCACTAGTTCTTTAAACACAGTAATTACGTGTATTCTCGGGTTAGTGTGTGCCTAGACCAAACCTCCTGACAACCAATACAGATTTTCAAGGGAAGATTTTGGGAGGGGTTGTTTTTCATCCTTCTTCCTCATTTGCACAGGCAGAACATTTTTTAGAAGTGTGTGTATGGATTGAAATTGGCAGAGGGAAGATCTAGATTAGACATTAGGAAGAAGTTCTTCCCTGGGAGAGTGGTGAGACACTGGAACCAAGTTGCCCAGAGAAGCTGTGGCTGCCCCATCCGTGGCAGTGTTCAAGGCCAGGTTGGACAGGGCTTTGAGCAACCTGGTTTAATGGAAGGCATCCCTGCCCGTGCAAGCTGGTTGGAACTAGATGACCTTTAAGGTCCCTTCCAACTCAAACCATTCTATGATTCTGTAACCCAAATCACACTTTAATTCATGATAATATAATCTCAGGAAAACCAGACCAAACTCAAAACTCAGTTCAGTGACAATTTAATTGGTGATTAAAATACTCTTGGTTAGAACCATTCTTTATTTGAGATTATATTCCCTTCCTCAAGCCATTTTAAACAGTTTCTTCTGTACCACAAAGGCACCCAGGTTTTTTCTGTAACTCATTGGCCAAAACTGGGTAAGCTGCTTAGTCAAACGCATTTTTATGTATTGCCCATTCCCTTTTGCCTGTCTACACCAGTAATTCTCACAGACACTTTTCTCTCTGTATCATCTACGTTGTCTTTCACTGACCAAACCTGTGCTTTCTAAAGTATTGTCTGAGCTGCACTATGATTTTTCTCTTTACAGATGTTAAACTGACAGCTCCAGAATTGGAGCTTGATGTTAATTTCTGAAGTAACAGTCATCTTAGACCTCAGAAAAATATCTTGTCAAAAAAATTCTAAACATAAAAGCTTTTAGTACGTTGTCAGCTTTATACTTTCCATCATGGTGGAGAACAGCTTTTAAAAGCAGTTTCTGGTGGCTGTTACCATGATTTCAGGCCACTTCCTCAGCTGGTGTGAATCACCCCTGTCTTCTCTGGCTTCAGTGCAGCAAGGCCAACTTACATCTGCTGCGAATGGATTCTCTGCCTTTCAAGTAGAGCTTTAGGATGGATTTGTGCCTGTAATTTGGGTGCCAGGAGGGGCATTTGTAAAAACTTTGGCAGAGGGGATTTCAGACTTCTAGGCTACAGAAGCCCATTCTGAGAGTTTGAAGCTCATCTGAAATACACTGCCTCAGTGCAACTACTAGATACAGTAAGGATGTGTCTCAACAGCTTGAGCTGAGGACTCATACTCCCACGCTGAGAGATGTCACTTTACCAGATTTGTGGATTGAGAACAGAAGGGAATGGCTAGCACCTAACGATTACCAGGCTACGTGTGCACCATGCATTATTACTCTGATGTTTGTTATGACTGGAAGAATGCTTGAATGAATCTCTTTATTGTTTCCCTGAAAAAAAAAGGACCTATGAAAGATGATTTGGAAGTGAGAAGCATATGTTGTGTCATTTTTGCATAATATTTAGCAATTGTAAATAAGAAAGACAAGCATAGGGCAGACTGTTTATATGAAGTTAGACTGGATCACATCTTGCGTTTCTTCATGATGATATTGTGCACCTTCAGTACAGAGAGCAAATGACTAGGAAAACAGAGCACAATGGGGTGGTTGTGATCACAGTCCTGTCCTGGAAACATGGAAACCGCATTCATCTGCAGTCCACAGGCTTCTGTTCACAGCATTACGGTAATGGATCTGATGTTAAGAAGTGCTGAGCACTTTTCATTTAATCAGACATTTCTGTTTGGGTTTATTTTTCAGAAATCCTCACAATTAATGCTTTATATAGTTATTGTTGCCTAAGTCTGGATAAATCTGTTACCAAAATGCCTTTCCCTCCCTCCCCATGGAAGAGCCAGAATTCTATGACAGCCATCTGAATATAGCACTGATTTATGAACTATTCCACAGATTCTGACTTAAACCATTGCTTTTCTCCATGGTGTAAAGAAAAGAGTGTACTGGTTGCTTGAGAGGGAAGATTTTTTCCAGATTGTCTCAGCAAATGCAGAAATCAGAAAACTCATGGTTTATGGAACCTTTAAACATCCTTTAAACATTAGGGCCTGTCTCAGTTTAGCCATGTCCTCTCTAAAAGCAATCTCAATATTCCTATCTCCCATTACATAAAACATTAGTCTCATTTAATACAGGAACTGGTATCATACAGGTTTGCATGCAAGTACAGGAGCTTTTGCAAACGGATGAAAAAATATTTTAATGATAAAAAAAGAGAGAAAAGTCCAATACTAACATCAAGGCAAAAAGCAGTAATTTCTTCACCTACTCACATTCACACTGTACCAGGGTTTTTTATTAGATTCTTGCTTCTCTAAGGTACTGTGATCTCATTCAGCAAATACCGTTATCGGTGCAAAACATGCTTGATATACCTGTGCTTTATGACTCATGAAGATGCATTTGAAGTACAGGTATGTGCACATTGTATAGGTAGTGCCAATACGTTATTGCTTTTAG